GGGGAAAGAGGAGCCTCTTAAAATAGAAGTTACAGGTCTGTGACAGCCAGAAATCTTGCTTGTTTGTAGGTGACCAAATTTTTCCACCATTATTTGCAAAAAAATTCTTTAAAAGTCAGACAAAATGATTTTCTCAAATATTTTTTCACATTTTGTCTCTCATAGTTGAGGTCTACCTATGTTGTCAATTACAGGCCTCTCTCATCTTTTTAAGTGGGAGAACTTGCACAATTGGTGACTGACTAAATACTTATTTTCCCCACTGTATAGGTAAATGATGACACGTCCAATACAGCTCTGATGAGGTCTTCAACGTACGTCTCATCTCTGAGATTTTCTGATTAACGTTTCTTTAATGATTAAATTATCTAAATCAACAAACTTGGTCTTCTTATAACCCTTACAGTTATCCCCTAGGGCTGAACTGTCAGAAATCCTGTCTTTATTATTGAGAATTTGAACTATATTGTGCTCTTACCTTTCTACTTTAGAATCCAGGTTTTCTTCCACCTGAGCAGCCTGGTCTGAAGATGCTGCTGGAGTGTTTGAAAACCTGCCATCATCCACATTACTTGAGACGGATCCTAATTAGAAAAACAAAAACAAATAAAAAAAGTTACCTTTTTTTTACTTTACTTTACTTTGAATTTAATATTTAGCCATAATAAATCAATAAAGTTCAGAAAAAAAGAGTATTGCCAACAACAGCTACTATTTGTGATAGAGATTACTCTCAGCTACTAGTATAACAGTTTTTAGCTTATTATACTGAAAATTGGCTGAATTAAAGAAGTTTAAAATTAGCTTTGGCAGCCTTCTTGGATTTTTTTTTCAACTACTGTTTGTGATATAGCACACTGTCAGGTACTTGTATATTAGTTTTTAGCTTTCGATTTCTGCTGTGCACCAGATGGGTTTCAGTGTTAAACAGGAATTCCAGCTCACTTAGTACCAGCTATTTCTGCATCCATCACTAAAGCYCTGGCACCAACTCCTTGCAGGACCCGAGCAGAGAAACACTTTTGTTAAGAGCTGGAGGTGGGTTTATAAAAAAACAACTGATGAAAACCTGAGTGCCATGTTTAAAAGACATGATTTAATGTCCACAGCATGCTGCTTAAATTAAGACAAAGTATTCATTTACAGTATATCAAGATTCATGATAAGAAAACATGGTTGTTTCATCATTGCCATATTCTTACCAAGTATATAATTCTCAATTTTGACAACCTAATTAGATACAGAAAAATATGTCTGCTTTTCAAGATTACTCATAGTTCTGCTGTACCTCCTTTTAAAAAATCATATCTCTGGGCTCTGGAAAAACATGCTCCCTCATCCCAGCAGATGTGCAGGATGAGGGACATCATTTGAATTGTAGTGAGCCTGAGGCTCAGAGATGTAAACAGCATCATTTGAGTTATTGTGAGAGCGAGGTCTCTTATTCAAAGAGGCAGTTACCCATGATGCCTAGCGACTCCATAAGTAGGCTCCCTAGMCTGGCCTCCTTCACTTTTCATCACCACGTGTGATTGTCATCAAAGTTTTTTAAAAAGCTGTCAATCAGCTGATAAAGTCCAAGATGTGATTTCAACTCACTTATATTCAGATCAGCCTTGTGTTGCACGTTAACATCATCACTCTGTTTCTTTGACTGTTGTGCCAAACCGGCTGCCGTCGCCGGAAGTAGTTCGGAGCTAACCCTCTTTTACCAAGACTTAGCTTAGCTTTCTTTACCTGCGCCACAGGTTGCGGACCACTGGAAGCCTGACGCTTCGGTCGGTCAATCTGACCAGACACAAGAGTAAACTCACTCTGAGTTCGAAAAGGCAAAAAGCCCCGAAAACTACCTCCATTGTCCGAATCTGATCCAAACAGATCAAGCACGTCCGCTCGAGTCCGAGACGGGCCGGCTTCACACTCATCATCACTCATGTCGAGACTACGTCTCCACCAATATCAATGAATCGCCACCAAACGTCACTGTAAAAGAAAGAGACAGCGTCTCAATCACATATCAAATTCACCACTGCATGGTGCCGTGACAACAATACGTACCTCTCGCTCTCAAATGAAAAGTGAAGGAGGTCAGGCTAGGGAGCCTACTTATGGAGTCGCTAGGCATCATGGGTAATTGCCTCTTTGAATAAGAGACCTCGCTCTCACAATAACTCAAATGATGCTGTTAACATCTCTGAGACGAAGGCGAACGTAAATGAAAAATAATCTAGAGTCACTCATTCAACTATTCACAGTGAGTGTAGGGTCTCCAAATGTAAAACGTCTTTTAGCAAATCAATTTTTTCAGGTGTGGCCACACAACAGTGGAATACTTTACCAACAGAAGTATTGCTATGTGCAGATTTTCACAAGTTTTCATGCATGACAAAATAACGGCTTCTTTTAAACCAAACCTGTTCTTATAAAGTAAACTGATGTGAGTGGAGGTGTCTGTTTTTAAGATTTTGAGAGTATGTGAAGACTTGAAATACAGTGATTGTGCTTGGATATCGTAGGTATGTTTATCTGCTTGATAATTATTATATTTCGTTGAGTGAGGGTCAGTCTATTTTAATGCAATTTTTTTCTGAGTGAGTTTTGTTCATGATGAAATCTTGGGAATATGGAGATAATGAATTGACTCTAAAATGACTGAGTGTCAGAATCAGACTCAGAATCAGCTTTATTGGCTAAGTGTATTAACATACATAAGGAATTTGCWTCCAGTTGTTGGTGTCTCTAAACTACATTCAGCCCAATGTCTCTATAATGCGCCTCCAGTCATCTGATCTGCTCAGAGCGCGGCTGGCTGCAGAGTGCACTTCTAAACGCTACAGACAAGGTAGGGCTGCGTAGTATATGCAGTTGACGGTAGAGACAGTATGAAGTTGGCCTACGGTAGAAATTTACCCTCTACAGTCCTATCGTCATTACATCATCGCACCCGTGTCAACAGGGCTGCGAGTGCAAAGCCAAATGAGAAGGAGTTTGAAATATAATGAAGAAATTATAGCGTTTTAAAACACGTAAAGAGAATAAATCCTCAAAATTTCCTCCTCCCGCTGTAGAAGTTACGTCGGGATCATTTCCTTCCTCCCTCCCGCTGCACGTCGAGCAGAGCGAAGCTTTAATAACAACAGTTTTTTCACACCCAAGTTGTCGGAGAAAATAACTTGTTTTTATGTATCCACCACAGAGATGATAAAAAAAATAAAAAAAGACGTGGACTTTCGTTCAGTCGTAAATCCATCTTGCTAATGTAAAGTCGGCTTCTGCTCTGATGATGAAGATGAGCGTGCAGCGATGAAGATGAGCGCGCAGCAGAGCAGCAGCTGATAAGTTCAGCAGGCAGAAGCTCATTGTATGGCACGTTGATATTAAAGCAAAATTGCTGGGTTTGATTAAGATTAGTTTTCTGAAAAAAAAAGGCTCTAAAAATTACATTCTTTAATTTTTATGATAATTTTCTAACGCGATATATACCGTTACCAAGAAGGGATTCAATTTATACTGTGATTTGAATTTGAGGTCATACCACCAAGCCCTAAGACGGGGGCAACAGATTAATAACTCAGCAGGCAAGAATTTGTAAAATCTTGTTCCTGCTAGAGCCACATATACTGTAACTACGTATCTGTTTGTCTCTCAGATCCAGAGATGTGCAGTGCTGTGACTCAAGCTTGATTCCTCTGTGGAACAACACCTGTCAATCACAAGGGACACAACAAGTGGGGGACTTTGCCCCACCCCACCCATCCAAAATTTGGTGGCCCCACCAGTTTTATCATTGCTTTGTGTTCATTTCATTTCCCTCTAGCTATTTAAGATTAGTAAAACCCTGTAAATATTACAAAAATATTTTTGAAAAACTAACAGTTTAAAGTATTAAAAATTAACTCTAAAATGAAACAAAAACTTAAAATAAGCCCTCTGAATAAAGACAACCAGTATAAAACAAATGTCCTTAACATTAAGATGCATGTTCTCGTGAGTTTAGAGACATTGGGCCTCATGCAAGAACATGTTCGTATTTTTATCCTAAATTTCTCTTACTTTTGTTCGTACAAAGGGTTCGTACGAACATGTCACGTCAGATTCAACAAACTCTTCTATCTTCAGGAAACGTGCGTAAATGAGCTGCGTAATTTCCACCTGATCGTATCCAGCTGCTCGTGCACGCGAGAGGAGATTAGCATAATTACCACCCCAAAAACACCATATAAGGCTATGATTCCTGCCTCACATACAAGGAAGTGTCCATTCATTCATGAGAAATGACAGCGATAATTATAAAAAAGAAGAACTTTACGAGTTCAGAGATTGAAGTCCGTCTGTCAGAGATCCAGAAAAGAAAATCTGTCATTTTCAGCAGCTCAGCTGTGGAATAAAAAAAGAGCTGCTAAAAGTATAAACAACTGTGTTAAATCATTTTCATTTATTCAGAAGCCGCAGCGCTGCGCACCGTACCCAACAGTTGAAGCCGATGCGGACGGTCCACACATTATTACGCCCACAGAGTGAGGGACACACTGCGTGGAGACACACGGACACTGAACAGAACCGAACCGACCCGACCCAAAGTGAATCGAGTAGAACAGAGGAAGGAGGTGGTGTTACCTTTTACGTCAGACGTCAGAACGTAACTCATTTTGTTTAGACTACAGAAAGAACTCATGATAAGACACACACCAGCTCTTATTCTGCTTTAACTTTACAGGCTGAAATGATCAGAAAGTATAAAATACAGTACTGTATCTCATATTCACTTAATCAGTTAAAAAATATCCTTCATGTGTATTTTAAAGCCACTCAGAATTTTACGGAACAATATTTCAGGATGAATTATCAAATAATACACACCTGTTACCGTGCATGGTTTGGTTCCAGGCTCACTGGCTGCTGTTTCTGACCCAGCAGGCCCATCGAGGGTTGAGGCTGGTACTGTAGCAGGTGGGGTGGTCTCAGTAGGATTACTGGGTTCTGTTACAGCTCTAGCATTGCCAAGTTCCTGAATGTGCATCTGTTGGAAAACAAATACAAAATGAGGACAAAATAAAAGTTTTTACATTCAGTAACTTTAATGTAAAACATAAGTTGAAAACAGATGATTACACACACAGTATAAAAAGATATAGAACAATGTTTTTATTGTTTAACATCAAATCAGACTAAAACTTTTAGGTAAATTGAGATTCACAATGTTATTTAACTTTTTTAAATGACAATGAAATGAGGAAATTTAGACAACCTTTCATTTACTTTCTTTAGTTGCAAATTTACATATAGTACATGCTTTTAGTATTTGGTAGCTTAGCCTTAAAACTGTGTCCAAGCATCAACTTTGTAGCTGATGTCTTCAGCATTTCTACATGTTATTCTCTCTCATATTGTCCTCCATATGTGAATTACACCAGGTTCTTCTGCAGAAAAACACCCCCGCAACATGATGAGGCCCACCCCATGATGGATGATATCTGGGCTTTGTTTGGATTTTCCCATTATGTCATACAAAGAAACAGTGTGTTTGAGGTGTGCCTTGAAATGCATCCAGTTATGCCTCCAATTAACTCAAATGTTGGCAGCTACCCGTTCAAAAACCTCCAAAGTCATGACATAATCATATTGGCATTTACAACTTGTACAAAGGCATAGTAATTTTAGTGTCAACATGTGACTTTCTAGAAAAGTTATTTCAAAAACTCTCTCTCATTATTTGGGTGTTTAACAAATAGAAAAATAATGTAAATCGTTACTGACCTAAAACAGGGAAGTTAGCCTATGTAAACATCTGGTTTTGAACTGTGTTTAATAACAGTGATCCTCGGGGCTCACTCACACTTCTGATTACAGAGAGAAATTACCTGCTGAACATTGTTGATTCTCTGCAACAGCTCATCAGGAGACACACATCCAGCTATAACCTCCAGAGGAATCCCATTTTCTCCGATAAAGAAGCTGGAGGGTATGCAGACTACAGGGTCTTTCAACAGGTACAGAGCAGCTAAGGAACATTTTGGGCCGATTTCACAGACAAGGCTTAGATTAAGACATAAGTATGCCCAATCTGGACTTGTTAAACTTGAGCATTTAAGCAGCTTGCATGAACGTAGCTTAGCTTTGTTTTAGTTAGTTAACTAAAACTAAAAAGTTCATGAAGTTTTACAGAGTTCTTTTAGCTTCAGCCATGTTTGTTTAATGAGAAGAACACCAGCATTAACCCTCATTAGCCTAAGTGGGAGCACAAACTGTTGATCTATTTTTTCTCATTAAAACCTGGAATGGATTAGAGGACAGCATTTCGGGAGTGAATTTTGACACCAAACAATGGCTGAAGCTAAAAAACTCACATACCATACCATATACCATACCATCCTTATTTATAGAGCACTTTAAACACCCACAGGACCAAAGTCCTGTACACATAATAAAACATGCATACATTCATAAAATCAATAAAAAAATGAAAATAAAACATAAAAACAACACTACAAATTGTGTTCAAAGGCCATAGAGAAAAGATGAGTTTTAAGAAGAGATTTAAAAACAGACAGGGACAACACCTGTCTGATGTCCAAAAGAAGGTTGTTCCATAAATTAGGAGCTGCCACAGAAAAAGCATGGTCACCTCTAAGCTTGTGCTTTGTCTTGGGCACAGTCAGGAGCAGCCGGTCAGCTGACCTGAGGGATCAAGAGGGCCTATAGGGTTGGAGCAGATTGGACAGATATGGTGGAGTAAGACCATTAAGAGCTTTAAAAGCAAACAACAAAACTTAAAAACGAATCCTAAAATATACGGGCAGCCAGTGCAGGGAGGCTAAAACAGGAGAAACATGATCAAACTTTCGTGTGCCAGTTAAAAGACGTGCAGCGGCATTTTGTACCCTCTACAGCTGTGAGATACAGGACTCACTGATGCCTGTATAAAGTGTGTTACAGTAGTCCAGCCGAGTGGTAACAAAAGGCGTGGACTACTGTCTCAAAATGTTTCTGAGAGAGAATTGGCTTTCACATTCCCCATAAATCCATTGTATAATTATATATAAATAAAGTACCACACTAATTTGTGTTTCTAACAGAGTGTTTTACACAGAGGAAACTACACTTATTCAATTCAAAACTACTTTGATCCCAGAGGGAATTTATCCTGATGGAAGAGCCAGCACACAGTGCCTGCGCACCCTCCATACAGTGGAGGAACAAGTATTTGATACACTGTTGATTTTTCAGGTTTTCCCACTTGCAAAGCTTGTAGATGACTGTAATTTTTATCATTGGTACTCTTCAACTGTGAGTGATGGAATCTAAAACAAAAATCCAGAAAAAAACAATGTAAGATTTTTAAATAATTAATTTCCATTTTATTGTGTGAAATAAGTATTGAATACACCAGAAAAATGAAACTTAATATTTGGTACAGAAACCTTTGTTTGCAATTACAGAGATCAGACGTTTCCTGTAGTTCTTGACCAGGTTTGCACACACTGCAGCAGGGATTTTGGCCCACTCCTCCATACAGATCTCCTCCAGAGCCTTCAGGTTTCGGGGCTGTCGCTGGGCCACACAGATTTTAAGCTCCCTCCAAAGATTTTCTATTGGATTCAGGTCTGGAGACTGGCTAGGCCACTCCAGGACCTTAAGATGTTTCCTACGGA